GTTCCAGGAGGAAAAGCATGTTTGACTTAAAAGTGAGTGCTCTGTTCAAATAAGACCGCACCCATGTTTAAATCTCTCATTTCTGTTTATAAGAGAACAAGGTAGCAAATTAAAGTTTGCTACTTGATATTCCCGAATACTTTTTCCTTAGCAATTGTCTCAGTTAAACAAAGAATGAACAGGCTCAAACAAAAAGTGGAATAATTTACTTTCTATTGCATTTTATAGGCATGAATACACAATGCTTTTAAGCCTTGACATTCAAAAGAAACAGCTAAAAAAACTAAGATACATTAAGATAAGGAAATAAAATGAAAACACTAAAACATGGTTTCTAAATGGAAGATTCTAACTATATTGGCTTTCAAAACTACTAGCCTGTGACCACAAAAGAAATCTTATACTCTGTGATAAAAGCAATTGCAGAAGGAGAAAAAATATAAATCTATGCAGTTGGGCATGAACTATCAATCTGAATGTGAAGCACTGAAACACACTGTTGTGACTGAAGAACAAGCAAGCAATATCCAATCCAAGATAAAAATACTAAGTGCATGCTGTTAGGAGCCCAGGGCTCAAATGATAAGGGTATTCAAGTACTTTAAAGAAGTTTCAAAATATTTTAAAGTGTCTGTAAGCCCAACTTTCTTTGAGAAGCAGCAGGTAAGGAATGTGCCAATGTGTACCATCCAAAGGTGATGTCTTAGTCCTGAAAACTCAGAACTTATGCTGTGCAAAATGGGGAACTTTGGGCCAGGACACCTAAATTTTAAATGTTTCATTAAAAAAACCCAAAAAACAACCTGATAAAAAGTTCCAAGATAGACCAAATTGTCTGTATTTTTTCAAATGCTATTGCAGCAAACTCACCAAATAATCATGTTTTGCAATTATACTATATTTTCACAGAATATACCAATCTAGGCAAATTAGAGACCTATAGAGGTCTTCAAAGCAGAGCCAACTTTAATAAAGACAAAACAGACAATGTTCCTCAAGGCCTTGTCCAGCTGTGTTCTGTGTGCCTTCAGGGCTAGAGACTCCACAGCCTCTTGGGCAAACTGTTCATGGCACTGCTCTCCCAGTGAGGAACATTCCCTTTATCTCCAACTGTGATTTCCTTCCCTGCAACTTGTGACTGTTGCCTCTTGGCTTTCCAGTGCCACCTTCTGGGAAGGGTTATGTTCTGCCCTAAACCCCTTTACTACAAAGGTGAGCTGCTGACTCATTTTCAGCTTGTTTTCCATCAGCATCCTCAGGTATTTTCCTGAGCTATTCCCCCCATCTCGTTCTGATGAATAGCATTACTTCTCACAAGTGCAAGAACGTGGATTTATCTTCACTGAATTTCATGAAGTATCTGCCAACCATTCCTGCAGCCTGGCCAGGTCCCTCTGAACAGAGGCTCTGCTCACCTAAGCATCAGTTGCAGTTCCCTCAAGTTCATGTCATATACAACAAGGTGAGGGTGCAATTCCTCTTCTACACCCAGGTTGTATAATCCACCCCTGTGTTACTGCCTCACAGTTCTGCAGTGTTATGTGAATGAACTTGTTCTCCACCATTTCCTGTTAGAATAGCTCATGGGAATGCTGCTCTGTTCATCTAACATTACAATAAACAGCACTGTGGTAGAGAGAAACTCCAAAAAAATCCCTTGGCCAAATTGTTATCTACTGTAAATTCCTTACATTTCTAATCAGATTATACAAAAGTGAGATCCAGGCTATTTATTCAAAAACCAAAGTGCCAATAACATATTTAAAAATCAGTAGGCTGCTCATTATAACCAGTTCTTGGTGCTGCATGTATTAGTTCACTGTTGGCATAAACATCTCCTTGGAAGAGCACAAGTAACTGGGTACTGTTTCACTGCTGAGTTAAGACAAGCAAACAAAAGCATGCTGAGTGTTTTTATGCTTAGTTATATGTACTTTTGAGGAAAGAATGACTATTATTTGAATGCATTTATTACCAGTTGAGCCTCCCTAATCTCTAGATACCTCTTGGGCTTAGAAAAATACGCATTTTTACAGGAAAATATTTTTTATAATCCTTAAAATAAATTTCTTGCACAACAGTATAATCTAAAAAATGCTCACAATGGGAGTGAAGTTAGGAAAACACTGCCACCCGTTAAACCCCCACCCTCCTGTGGTCCTTGAACATTAGCCAAGGTTTCGTTGTAGCCTCCCTTAATTTGACCCCAGGAGATAATACCATTGACTTGAGTTCATTTTCATGAGGAACACTCAATATAGGAGACTTTTCTTGGAAGAGTGAATTATAGACAAACAATAGTGCCCCTTCCATGACATCTATGATGGATCATTCAAAGTTCACAACAAACTGTTTCACAAAGAGGAGGCTGCTTCAAGTCAAATTATGAGACAGCTGTTAAATAAATCTACCTCATGCAGATTTAGTAAACCTTATTGCTCCTAAGAGGACCAGGAAATCAGAAACATCACATGTGAGAGAGAGATTCTGTTGATACCAGACACAGTAAGACTGTTTTCAGGTTTGACAGCTGATAAGAAGCACAGAAGCCCTAGGTCTCCTTTCACTGACACCACCTGTACCCTGGCCACAGCCATCACACCCAGGAGCTTGCTCTGATTTGCAGCAGCAACACCAAGGTGAGGCTCCAGCCCCCACAAATAATCAGAATAAAACTGGTATATTAGAACATGGATTTTTTTCTTAGGAGATTTTCCTAGATATATCACTCTACAGCCTGGATAATACACGGACTTAGCACTGCTACCATTTCCATAGACCAAATCCAGCCCTTTCACAAGTGACATTGGATGTGCAGGATGAAAACAGAACATCAGCTGGAAACCAATTCAGACTGGAAAGACCACTTGCCTCTCAGAGATCCCAAGCACTGAATCACACCCTCTAGCAAGTGTGAAATGGACCTCAAGAAAGGATGAAATATAACCTTAGTACATGCTTTCAGTATTCCCAGTGCTGTCCTCAAAAACTTGAAGATACCACAATATGTTAAGTGGGCCCTCTACTAACAGACAATTGAAATCCACAGATATATATCTGTATATATACAGATATCCACATTTCTAAGCCTGGTCTGCTTCTGTGCAAGCCTATAAACCCACATAGTCTTGAGCTCTCCGAGTCCTGCCCAAGCCTGAAATCTGCTGAGTGCACAAGGCAATAATTAGGTTACTATCTTCTACTTCTGCCACAAAAGGGAAATAATGATAAGCTGCTTTTCTATGCAAAGCTACTTATTTCCAGGAATTCTGTAATATAGAAGAAAGGGTCAGGAAAGAGGGTAAAAGGCTGACAGGGAAGGCAATGGTTTGTGTCTGTCACTCAACTCTGTACATGGTTTGAATGTGTAGATGAGCAACTCCCTCTGCTCTTACAGTAGTTACAGCACTATTAAAACTCTGCTCATTTAATTGTTAAAAAAGCTACCAATCCATATTAAATGCAAGACAGTGTACAGAGGAGTCCTTCCTGCAGATACATGTGTTTAGCATAGTGCAGCAATCAGCAAGATTGGCCTGGTCCCCTCACTGCTTTTCTGGTGCAGGTTTGAAGCAGATCTTGTTTATTGTTCTTTTTTGCAAACCTCTGTTGAGACCTTTGAAGTGGTTGGGCTCCTTGAGCCAACAGGCCCTGTGCTGCACCTGGTGTGAGGCAGACTGAGCAGCTCCAAAGTTAAACAAACAGCAATCCCAGCTGAGGATGGTGTATGAGTTACAGATAATGGCAGCCAGGGCATGCATGATCCATCCAAAGCAAACTATATGTTGTCTTAAAAAAGCAATTTAGAGCTGCATTTGCTATTCAGACCAGGCTGCTGTGTTTAAACAAAGACTCTATTCTTTAACACACACATGCACATATGTGTATACATATAAATATGAAAGAGTGCTTTACAGGATATGTCCAGAGCAGTATCCCTCCAATTCCCTGCTCCTTTGTCCAGACTTATCATGCTTTTCAGTATTGCTATCATGACTTGCTATAAACCACGCTTAAAACAGCACATAATTGAGGCTCTTTTTTCCTTACAATCAAATCTACACTACTTGTTGGGAAATCAAGTGACAAGCACATTCAAGTATTAAAGAGCATAACACCGATTTCAAAACATACCATATATGCAAAATTGGTAAATTAATTGTTTTTAAAGACTGATCTTTAATGAAGAACTTTCTGCTCCTTCGAAGTTTTTCTTCTTTTCTTGTTTTAAAAGTCGTTTTTTCTTTCTTATTGTCATATTATCATGTTCAAAATACAGTAAATGTATTAAAATATAAATCTCCCTAAAAGTCCAATATTTTTATCACATATTTTTTATCGAGCTATCTCTTCTTCTTAATAGTACTTCACAGAAAAATAGGTAGTTAAGGTGAGTCTTTATTCAGTCCTGTCATTGATCAGTCAAAAAAATGAACCTTGAGAATTTTGCTTGAATATCAACTTCAGGATTTGATCTTTGGAAACAGCTTTCTCTCACAATGAATTATATCTGCATTTCTCTGTCTTAAGTGAGATGTGGATGGCACAGCAAAGGTGTAGTAGAGTGACCACAGATCACACAGCCAATGGAGAGCCTGAATAAGACAACGGACCAAACATAGCTCCATGTATTTTCAGGATAAATGGAGCCTTTTTGTAACATTTGGGTTCTTCTATGAGGATGTTTTTAATATGAATTCAAACCAAAACAAACTCCACATTTTCCCACTACTCACCTGAACTTCCAATACCCTGGAAAATCACACAAAACCAATGGGTTTCATCAGTATCTTTGTAAAACACCATTTGGTCAGGCATTTGCCAGGCTTCTGACAATTTTTTAGTTAAATTGCCTACATACTGATTTTTATTTTTTTTTAATATAATACATAATGTTATTCTTCTCTTCTCTGTTGGTATTACTGAAGCACAGGGATATCCAGGATAGTAAGCAAACAGGAGAAATTCTTGCAAAACTGTCAAGCAAATATCATTCCTACCTCCAGCCTGGTCCTGTCCACATCCTTAGGCAATTTCACACGAACTCGGTTTGTTACAATAAGTGTTTCATAAGGATAAATCTGTTAAAAAGACAAGAGCATATGAACTCCAGCTGAATCCAATGCTGAGGCATGGAAATGGTGGTATGGGGAACTTACTAAAAAGTGGTACATACTTGCATCCTGATTTGACAAATATTTCACTGGGACAAAAATTAACAAAATAAAATAAAAGAAAGGAACCCATGTAACCTTGCTAGGAAGTGCTGAATCTGATTGTTCTTCCAGTGTTGGAAAAGCCCTTCTTACCTTGTATTCTGCAAAAGAATGAGAACAGGTTCACAGTTTAGAATTTATAGCTGTCTTTTGGTGTCACCACAATGAACATTTACATCACAAATGTGCTATGCTACTACATTTCTCTCTTCTCAGTAGCTGTTGAATAACTGCATGCATAGTAATAATTTGACCCCCATGCCTTGAATGCCTATACCACTGTCTATTACCAAAGAAATTGTCCTGGAAATCAAAGGCATATTACAGAAAATCCATCTCCCGATGCCATTGGGTTACACGGTGAGTATGGCTGGCAAAATTGGGTATCTCTTTTTACAGGAGGCTTATGAGCAGAGTTAAGTCAGTCTGTCATCCAAAACTCCTGCCCTTATTGTTCTTTACTGAAAATAGTTAAAATATATCGATTATTAAAGGCATGTCAGTTTGGAAACATATATGAAAACCACTGAGATAATACGATATTACAAAATGCTGACACCCTGCACTTGGGCTGACTGCAGTGGGAATAACAGCAGGGAAGAAAAGATGATTTGGGGATGTGGCAACAATGACTCCTGGATCTACACTAGCACAAGGGAATTCTAGTTAGGTCAGTGTATGACTATATATGATATGACTACCACAATGTTATCTATTCACAATGGTGATTAAATGCGACCAGGATAGCCAAAATGTCTTCACAGACCTCTTTATGGTCTGAAATTAAATTAGAGATTGAGTCTACTTTTCAAAACCTGTACTTTAACCTATTCAAACATAGAGACAAAGATTTTTATCAACACAGAGTCTTGAAGTGAAGCATTATAGTAAGATTTTTTAAAATGAGTTGAAGTGTCTTGGAAATAAAATTTTTCAGCTCTTTTGAAAATTCCAACCCATGTTCCATATTAAGTGCACAGTTCACTTAAAACTGTAATAAAAGAAAACACTGCAAATAAATTCTGCTTTTTGAACTCTGCACATTTTAAACACACTGTAGCACAACCAGGAAGCACAACAGACTTTTTCCAACTAGATATGAAGGAATGATTATCTTAAATTTCCCCCTGTCTTTGATATGAGACCAACACCAAAGGCTGTTGCCACATATCAAGGATCCTGCTATTGACTCAGCCTGGTTGCACCACCCTATGATGCACGACTTCTGTCAGGCCTTTAGGTTGGGCTAAGTAAAAAGATTCTCTGTGATAAACATGAGACTGAGCTGTGTCTCTGGCTAGTCATTATTATGTGAACTACAGGAAAAGCTCAGAATAGTAACCTTTATGGCAATATGTTAATTAAAATCCTCAAAGGTGAAAGCACAAGGGGAGTGGAAATGATATTGCAAAAATAATGTACCTTTCATCCCCCAGCTTGCCTCCTGGTCCGTTTCATATTGGCCCATAGTTTCAGGCTGACAGAGAAAGAAAGAAGCAATGTAGAAGCAAAATACACAAAAACCCCATTCTGAACATTGTTGAGAGAAAAAAGAAAGACAGAGAACCCAAATACAGATCCTTCCGTGAGAGAAAGAGAAGTCTCATTCAAATTTGACCTAATTGCTCAAGTTAGCAAGGTAACACTGAAACTGTCACTTTTCTGTGATGCTGAAGTGTTACTGCCATCATCACAAATCACTTCTGCTGCACTGCAACTTTTCTCCTTCTGCCTTCTGCTTCACACTGCTGATGCCACTGACCAGGGTGAACTCTATATGTGCCATATATGTGCTTTGTTTGAACCACTGTCTTCTTCCTTTGCTGACAAATGCTGTGATGAAAAACAGTACAGGAGATCAGAAAAGCACTATTACATGATTTTTTTCTTTCCAAGCCTCATTTTTGCCTGCTAGGGTATCAATGGTGTGCACAGCTATGCCCACAATAACCTGCAAGGCTCCTTGTTGTTTGCTTTTGGAGTTTTATTTATGCAGCACTAGGATGGTTGATTAAAAATAACAAACCACAAAAGCTGGTATGAACTTACAATCCAAAAGAGGACATCCATTCTGAGAGAAATTTTGGCCTCAAGGATTTGACCATGAGCAACCTTTCCAACTCTTATACAGGTTTGGGATTCTATCTATGGGACAGATGCTGCCATCTGCTGCTTTCCCATCACATTGCAAGGCATCCTGAGAGCTTTGGCCTCATCTCTGGGAAGCCTTGGGATGGTTTTGGTGCTTCACCACTGAGCACAAGTCAGTGTCTTGCTCGCTTCAGGTTACTGGCAACACCTATTCTGAAAAGTCAGAAAAACCCCTCTTGACTCATAGGGATTATTTTTATACGGACCCTTTAAAATTCCTAAATTCCTAATTCAATAAAATTTCAGTGTCATTCCTTTCTTCAGAGAAGAATTCAAGAAACCAGGTATTGAAGCAACACAGGCATAATTACTCCTGTAATATTAACTCAAAGGGGTGGACATTTCAGCAGCTACCAAAAAGTCCATTTAGCTACTCCTTGACAATTTCTTTCTTGTAGGTCCTTCCAAATGACTCTCAGTTTGACTCTTGTCCCTGGGGAAGGTTAATCTTCCTCATGTGGTTTTGCAGGTTTCACATCTTCCTCTGGAGAAAGAAGGGAATTTGAACGAGGTCCTCTCCATGCAATTTGGACACAAATCAATTCTTCAAAACGTAGGTGCACATGCATCTATGTATTGACAGCTCATGACTATAAACCATAGTGGTATTTCACCTTATAGTATAAGCCATGAACTGAGAATCCATAATGCTAGATGCCAGAGAGAGAGAGAGAGAGGCCACATTTTCAAAGCTTCCTTTTTATTAAAGACTAATAAAGTTGCAAAAAAGGATTAAAAAAATAATTCCTAGTCTCTTCTGATCGTAATTTTGTTAAACAATTGTCTTTCTAGATTGCTGCTTGTCATTCAATCTTCACTGACCCCTCCCTGCCTTAAATTTACAATGGTTTTGTGTGAATACACACACCACACACTGACACACATTCATACTAGAAAAAACAGAGATGGTTCAAGGAATACAATGGATGTGGGCTGTTCCACCTTTGCTCTAAGATCATTACTTGCTACTTATAGGCCTGTCTCCATCATTAATTCAAGCTATGCTATGATTAATATGTGCAGCCTCATATTTTAGATCTTCGTAAGATTCCCAATACTCACAATAAACACAATTAAAAGGAGAAGCCTCAGTCAGTCTTATTCTTGCAGAGGGACAAACTGTAACTCACATAGGGAATAAATCTGTCAGACAGGCCTGGCAGCCAAAACACCTTTGAAGTGTTATTACTGTGTAGATTTTCAACTAGTTACTGAGTTGTCTATTTATGAGACCTTATTTCCTGGAGAATGTATTGAAGTGTTTACCTACCTGATGCAAGCCATTCTTTCCATAGCCAGGCAGAGAAGCAGACTTAGAATATGGAAATCCTATAAAAGACATAATATATAGCTATATTTTTTGCAAATCTATTACAGCCTACTAAAACAGGGAATTCAAGAAAACATCCAGAAACAGCAATTACAAGATCAATGCAAATATTCTATCAATTAGATGAAATATAACTGACCTATGCTCATCTTTTCTCCATATTTCATGCACATGAACATGTGTAACAATATCTAGAAACAGCAGCATGCCAGGGGCACAACGTGGAGGGAGTTGTGGGGCTTATGTTATGGAAGCCTCATGCACCAATGTGACCCAAAGCTTGTGATTTGAGAGACTGTGAAATCTCTGCCTTCCAACTTGATGTTAAATCAAATTTCAAATGACTTGAAACTGGGATTAAAGGCATTTAGATCATCACTTTTGAAGGTGCTACTTAACTTCTGGGTTATGGTTTTGTATCTTTAAAAAGATGGGTTTATACCCTACCACTTAAAAAAAAATAAACTTTTTTTTTCTTTCTGTAAAACTTCTCATGGATAAAAGCAAAAATGAAGATATAGCAGTGGATAACGTAAATCAGCCAGAGTATATATACCCAAGTGAAAGAAAGTTTTAAGATGGAGAAAACTGGCAAAGTTGTGTTACCGTGAATAAATGATGTAACACAGTGATGAAACAGTGTGTGGTCATTATGAGACAACTGAAATGCCTTAATTTTAGTATTAAAACTCTAGTAAGAAAGTTTAAAAGTTAAACAGTTGAAGAACAAACACATACATAATAAACATTTCTCATTCCAGTACAGGAAATTCTGTAAAACTGATGCAAAGTGTTACAGAAGTCAGGTAGCTCAAAGAACTGAATGTACAATACTTCTTTCTGTCAAAATTGTTAGCAGTCTGTGTCCAAAGAGGAACGCAGGAAGAGAATCCAGACCCCACTGGATTAATAAATACCCTAAGGAGATTATTAGGAATAAACATAGAGAAAGAAAAAACAAAAAATGGATCAGCAGAGAGCTCAAAATGTGCTGAGATAAACTGAAAACTGCCAGAAGTCAAGCTGAGTTAAACACTGAAAATGATATTAAAACAAATAGCAAAAGTTTCTCCAGCTATCCAAATAAAAAGAGAACAAGGAAAGAAGAAATGGGATCACTGGGAGTTGTACTGTGTCAGTACTCAGTACTCAGCAAAGGTGAAAGACAACCCAAGTAGGGCTCGAGCACTGAAGGAGTATTTCATCCATGGAACAGAAAGTGGAGTACTGAGCAAGGATGAAAAGCTAATGCAGTAAGGGTGAATCACTGTCATGATGGAAAACAATTCAAAGCACTTAATGTACTTAAACAGGGAGCAATAAGCTCATATTGAAATGTAAGCCAAATACCTCCTACCATTAGAGAAGGGCAACTACAGTTTTTATATCTAAGAGAAGAAAAAAAACCAAACCAACAAACTTATAATTGCCTGTTATGTGAATGGTAGTGCCACCAGAGTGCAGAGTACAATACCTGTATCTGCAACACAGCTGTCCTCTCTACTCCTGCCTGGAAAAAGCTGCTATGTTGGACATCAGTGTGGAGATTTTGGCCACGGAGAAGATGGGCGAGTGAGCTTTGTTCTGTCACTAAATAAGACTCAGTCACCGAGGAACAATGCCCAAGGTAAGGACACTCTGCTGGCAGCAGAGACACCCAGCCAGGTGGGGAGCTGCCCTGGAGCCAGGCTGAGCCGTGCCCGTGTGGACACCCAGGAGAACCAGAGTGCAGAACAGAGCCTGAACACCCAAATCTCACAGCAGTGAGACACTGAGCCCTGCAACCTTCCTCTGCAATCAGCCACCACCTGAACATCAGCCACCCTCTGCAGGGATATGGCTCCTGCTTCGAGCAGCACTCCAGCCTGAAGGTGCCTCTCAGCACATCATGGACACATGAACAGCAAGGGTTACATTCCTCCCTAGATACCTGCTTTCCTAAATACACAACACTTAAAATCGTGAATTATGGTAAACGATTAACTATTACATATCTGTATATACAGAAACAAGACCCATTTTCATAGGTGGATGTAAGGAGATACAAGCTCCACTCTTGCCTGTTGATTGCACAAGCCTCACACTGATATGCTGTGTTGATAGTTGTGTTCTTCTGGGCATTTAAGTGAGGCAATGTGGCAAAATGTCTTCTAGAGCAAACCAACTCCTGTCTGGTTTGCTTAGAGGCTGGGCAGAAAAATGCAGGGCTTTTTGCTCAGTATACCTGGAAACATCACTATCAATTCACAGCCTGCTAACTCCCTCCACTCTGCATGTAACCACTTGGCACCAAACCTATACCTAACAAGTTTATTTCCTCTAATGGTCACTGACTATGCCACAGGGATGAGGCTGAAAGCCAGAGTTCTCAAGCATCAGTGCAAGAGGTAGAGATGCTACTCTTCTGTGGCCAATGGGGCCATATGAGAGACTATAAATATTCAGAACTAAATAGGGAAACACTGAATAAAGAAGGAATCACTGAGGATGTCCACAGGTAAGTGAATGAAAGCACAAAGAAAGGAAAACTGTAAATTTCAGTAAGACAAAACTTCCTCAATGTCATTTCTGTGTAGCTGCTAATTGGGTAATGTGGTCAACTTTAATGAGGGACAGAGAAATGCTGATAAAAAGCAAAGGAAAATAAACTACAGAATCTATATTGGCACAAATGTGATATTGACCTTGACACAGAGGTGGGAATTATCTATTGCATTTCTACTTCTAATAGTTCCACGTTCCCAAGATAATCAAAAATATGAAAGAAATGCTAGATAGCTGAGTGACAGCTATAGCAACGTTGTCAGGGGAAAAAATGAACACTGTATGTTCAGAACAGATCTTGGTGTGCTACATACTTCTCCCTGCTTAAAATCTGCATTTTAGGACTGCTCTCTCAAAATGTGTAAAAGAGCATCGGATCTCCTTCATAAAGCTTCCAGACATACTCCATGTGTGTATGACAATGAAAGGTTTAGGTGCTCATTCCTGGGCAACGATTTACAGATGTTAAGTGTGTGAGGTGGTCAGACTTGGTTTCTCCTGCACACGAAATCCTGCAATGCACCTTGTGCACGTATTTGTGATTTCTAGTGAGGATTAAGTTATCAAATCCCTTTAAGCTAGACCAGTGAGACTGATGATCTAAAATAAGTTTTCTTCTTTATCTTGTTACAGCCTTGTGAAAGACTTTGTAGCATCTATTTTTCCTCTTCCTTGCATAGCTAAGCCATAATTTCCTTAATACAAGTTGATGGAGCCAACTATCACATTACCATGCCCACAAGACTGACATCCTAGCCCTGCTGCCCGACATGCCTTGCATTGGGTGCATTCTTTTGGAAAACTGCTTCCCCAACTTGTTTACCCTGGATGACCTGCTACTGCTGCATGGTGTAAAGTGGAGGAGGCAGGAAAAGGAATGTCTCAGTTATTTCTTAAAATTCATTAAAACTTATTTTTTGTCATATATGTAACTTAAAAGTAAAATTTAGGCCAAATATTGATGCTTCTGACTTGCTGAAATGTGCAGTATGAAATGTGTAGTACAAGTTTTTGGTATTGACAGCTAGCAAGGGCACATGGTCTCCAGGCCAGTATTCAGTTACAAAATTATTCCCTCTCCCACCTGGAATATTTCTGCGACCTTATAACTGTGAGTTATAAGAAAAAAAAAGCCTAAGTTAATCTCTGGAGCAACAAAATCTTTATGTGTATTATGACAGAGAAGAAATGGCTCCATCAACATTCAAAATACATAGTTTCTGTCAAGGACTAATTAGCACAAATGAAAAATCTGCTTGATACTGCCATCCTGTCTACTGCAAATAGGTATCATATAATAAATGGGCACTTTTATGAGGAGATGAATTTGTGGTAAGGAATCTCTGCTCTCCAAAGAGACAACAGCTCATTTACACAGGCAATGCTGCTTCTTTCACTAATATGAAACTATAAATAGTGTCATCATCAAAGCCTGGAGGCACCGAACGCTCACAAGCCACGGCAGAACGAGCTGACAAATGGGTGCAGCTAAGGCAGAGATGAAGCACAGAGGCAGCCAGGGAGCTGTGGGGTGTCAAACCAAGACAGAGGCTGCAGCAGGGCCACCTTCCCCTGCCCCAGCAGTGCAGGCTGGTGCAGCACTCACGGGAGTAGCCAGCAGTCGTGCCCTCCTGGCCCCGGTCACTGCCCGCAGTGAGCGACAGCGACCGCGTCTCCGAGTCCGGGGAGTTGGTTCTGGTGTCCACATCCCCTTTGAGAATCAGCCAGCTGGTCTTCAGCTGCAGAGAGGAAAAGCTGTTGTAAGAGACAGGATTTAACACCTGAAGGCAGCTCTCCTACCTCAGCTGTCTCAGATGCCTTGTGAACTGCTTGTCTGTTTTTGCTCGCTGCAGCTTGTGCCATCCTTTATCCAATTATAAAAGCTGACTATGTGATGAGTTCGACATCACAGCTACCAAAACCTTTCCATTTTTATCTGGGCTGAGGATAATTTTTCTGTTCATGAAGCTGCCCACTGCGCCCCACTTCAGAAGATGCCCTATGTAATTTTCTTAGAATTAACCTGCTCTTGACATTTTTCTTCTAGGTTAATATGCACCCTAAGTCTGCAGGATTAGCTGAATCACCAGTGTAGATATTGAGACAGAGTGAAAATCCATGAGTTTATTGCTATTAATCTCAATATCCCTATTTCTCTTTACTGTAGAATGTACATTCTAAACCCTGTGGGTGAGAGATTAAGATTTTCCATGTCTTTTTGGAAAGACCTAAAAGTAGTCTTTGATTTCAATTATTTAAAAGTGTACCTTTACATATTAATGTGTTTTAAAGACCAGTTACTTCAAGAATGATCAATACTTCCTTTTGTTCTCTCTGATCATTACCTTCTTACCGTCCTGATCCAAGCTTCCATCCTCCCCTTCTGATCTTCTTGCTGCTGTAAGATTAAATTAATTTTAAAAATTTGAACAGAATGCATTTTAATTTTTGTCTTCTGTTTTGACTGTAGTTACGTTCCAAATATTTTTAAGAGGGGTATAAAATAAATTTTAAAAAATAGAGTTTGACAGAATATTTGATGTGTAGATCTATGATTTCACAGAATTAATGAAAATAATTTTGAAATTATTACAGTACTACTCATCCTTCATGTATACAGTGAATTTAGAGGACAATCATGGTAAAGAAAATTATGAACAAACTTGGCATTGTCTTTTAATAAAATCTCCAAGAAAGATTGTGTCAGACTCTAAAATTCAAAATTCTTGACCAACCAATTTTTATTACTTTAGTTTATTCTTCTGCCCATATTGTCTTCCTAAAGAGTGTTTCCCAAAGGAAACTGCTGACGTTTTACCATTGGGTTATTTCCTTGTAACTTTCCAACTTGCTGAGAAGAAAACTGGAAACCTAAAAGCTCTTTATTACATAGTTCCCAACCTTCAAATGTGTTTTCCCTTGTCTTTTATTTCCTAGGGTATTTTTCCAGACACCAAGTTACACCTAAGAATCTTACAGAAAGTTTTGTGACAAATTTCACATAATTCCAGGTAAGTTCTTAAAATCTGCCCTACTTGCCTTTGTATCCTTCTAGGTAGTTTGAGGAGAGTTTTAATGGTGCAAAACTGGAATAATGCAAGGACATAGCATAACTTTAAGCCCATGAGAAATGAATGTAACAAAGGGGTTGTCTGCAATGCCTGAGAAAAATGGCCCTGTGCAATGCAACGTAGACAGAAAACATAATTATTATTAAGAGAAAGACTATGATAATACAAAAATTAAGGCTCAGATGAGATCCTTAGAGACAGAGATGGAGAGATTAAATTGCACCATTAGAAGTGCTGCAAAACTCCCAGCAAGTTGGGAAAAATTCTTCCCTCTCCAGTTCCCCAGCAATCATGTCTGCAGAGGATCTGCCCTGCATCTAAACAACACAGGCAAAAGGCCACCACCAAAAACATTTCAGAGTTATTCTGATGCAATTTCTGGTGCCATCACACAGCTCACATCCAGATCTTAACTGGTTTGGCTGAGGAAGTGGTAGTTAAAAAATGACTAATTGCCATAAGGAAAGTATCTATTAAGTTAGAGGTGAAAATCTGGAACTGTAGAGGGTTTGCCTGCTTCCCACCCCCGCTCCTCTTCAATTTGGTGTGGGGAAAAATAAAAAAAAAGCTGGGTTAGAAAATATGAACAGCATTATGAAAAGCCACAAGGTTTTCACAGTTATCTCACAGCATCCTGAAAAGGGTATTTTCTCAAGATGGCAAGCTGCTTCTCTGAGGAATAAATAGGAAGGAATATTCAAATATGACAGATGATGAATAAAACCCCTACAATTACAAGAAGGACCTAAACCTAGTTCACAGATATTTTGGGAGCACACCCTAAACTGCAAGTCAATAAGTTATTCCAGGTTATGTGTATGGATCTTGCTCTCAATAAATCAGAAACCCATATAGAGGATCCAACGCATTTTTGGAAATTTTATTTTTGTTTCAAGACATTGATGTTCTCAAAGGAAAAAAACCCATCCTTGATTCAAGATTTCTATCAAGAAATTTCAAAAGTTCCACAAGATCTTGAGAGCATCTGACTTCAAAGAGATGCAGAGGATTTACAACCAAAATCAGTGAGGGCCATGAAGACCAGCCCCTCCCAGGCTCCTGAGAGGCTTCCTGAAACACATCCTGGCAGATAAATCCAAGTGCCCTGAATTTCATCAGTACTGAGCATTAGCTTCACCACTACAAGGGATACTCAGTTCTGCCATGAATCCAAATGTGATTTCAAAATTTTTTTAGTAACTTTGAATGACGTTCAAATATTTCTAAAACAAAAACACACATACACAACCATGCAGGCTCCTACACTCTTCACTTTCCAACCCCAGCTCTGAGCCTGATCTCTTGCATGTCCCATTTTTCCACCACTTTTTTTTCATTCTGAGGTTGGTTGTTTATAATAGAAACACAGAAGCTGTAGCTACAGCAAATCTGTTCAGTGCTGATGTAACTAAACTCTTTTAAAGCCAAATGTTTTGGAAGAGCTTCTTGCACTTCTTGTTTTAAAGAACATTTTTGAGTTGTTTGTTCAAACTTCATCTCTTCAACAAAGGAATGCTCTCTGGCTCCTTTTCAGCATGAATTAGTTCAGTGTCCCATTAGCTTGAGGAGCTGAATCATCAGCTGCTCATGTGTTCATGCTTTAGCTGGGAGTCCTCCCAGAACAAAAGATAAATCTTTTTTAAATTTGATTTTCATTTATATTATTTTTATTGGAAGGAAAGTTTATTGATCTTTTGTTGTTGTTGTTTCTGGATCTTATGGTTTTTGGGGTTGTTTTCTTAGAGTAAATTATGTTTTGCCCTCTGGAACAAAAAAAACCAAAAAAACCCCGTATTTCCAACACAACCCATCAGAACATCTATAATCTAGAAAAGAAAGTTTAAAACATATATTCTTGTTAATCTATTGAGATTGCTGACTTGCTAGTTTAATTCTCTGCTCACTTCAGTGATTACAAGGACAACTCCTTACAGCAGTGCAAAACTGATAATCCAGACTGCAACAGAGAGCAAACGGATATAAAAATGCCCAGCCTGCAAATATAAAGCTGCTGCTTAGAATCCTCTTTGCAAACGAAAAGTATCTATAAAATTAAATTACACAGCCAGGATACAGGATATCAGAGTCCTACCCTCAGCTTCTGTAAATGAGTGAAACTATGCTGACTTACACTAGATGATTGTTACTTTGCATTTGTTTATGATTTTCCAAACACCATTACGGTATTCAACTTTTTTTATTGCCTGTCTTTTTTCCTCAGCCTGAGAAGTTGTGTCTAATGATTTATATTAAGGAGCAGGCACAGAGGGGCAGGAGAGGGCAACAGGGTCAGGGGGCAGCATGGCAGCTTATGTGGCACTTATTATCAGCTCTGCTTCACCATGACATATCAGAATACCAGTATCCCAGTGTTGGAGAACTTACTGCATCCTTGGACATCCTGTTATACAAAACACTATTTAATTTTCATGTTTCTTTTTCTCCTCTTCTATTTGAGGTTACAGGGACATAATGAAATGCAAAGACTACAACAAACAAAATTGGGAGTCAATATGTATGTATTTTGACAAGACACACAGATAAAACTGCAAGAGAGAAAAGCAGACTGTACCATGCTGTTTGTAGATAGGAGGTTTCCTATAGATGTTATCTTTCACGCCAGTGTCTGAGGAAGAGGAAAGAGAAAGGAAAGAATGAAAGAGTAAGCAAACAGTTGAGACCACACTGCTCTTGTCTCCTCTCAGCAACAATAAAAATGCAAAAAACTTCAGCAAAGACTGTGCATTCATTCACTGGTTTTCCACTCACTGGTTATTAAAAGAGAACAGAATTTTATCCATCCTATGCTGAAAACCTTTATACCTACCTATGCAGCATAATCCCCACTAAGTCCCTCAAAATGCTCTAAGACAACTGGAGTGGCATCCATTTGGTGATATGTAGGTATTTTCATCTGCACTACCAGCACATACTTCACAGACAGCAAAAAGAAACTGGCACACTGGCCACTATTTCAAATTCACATAGGAGTACAACAAACTGTCACACTTGGAAAAGGATTTTCTCCATTATTTACAAATAATGTGTATATGTTCAGGTATGAATGTTTATACTGGTAATACAAACTATACTCTTAGGAAATCCTATAATCTGTCTTTACTTTGAATTGTATAGCTCATTTGGCTGTCCAGGAATTTTCTGGAAGCCCTCAGAGCCACAGTCTAGGGTTCCCATATACATTGTACAGACATCAGATTTACTCACTACTACGAACCTGAGCAGATACAATTGCTAACTGTGGTCTGTTTACAGAAACATTAACTACAGAAGCTAAATGTGAATAAACAAACGATTACAGTGAGGAGGTAAACGTGTTTAGAAGACAAAAAGCTAAACAGTGTGCATGTCAGTTTAATGTGCTTGTTGACTGAACTTGAAAACAGTAGAGTACCTATACAAGGATAGCCACAGTGAGCCTCCTGCAGCTCTAAAGTCTTCCAGCTTCTTTTAAATTTTATGTTAATATTACTGAAATTCAGATAATAGACTTATAAGAAAAACAAACAAACAACAAAAACCTCTTCAGTCATTCCTCCTGCACACAAATGCAATCTATGCAGTTATGGCACTATAATTATAGGATCTTAGAATCATTAAGACTGAAAAAGACCTCTAAGATCATCTAATTCAGCCACTAACCCAGCACTGCTGTAATTTTGTACTTTTGGTAACATTGTTCATTCTGTGCCTTCTGTAAAGCAACCTTTTTAACATATAGGTACATGAGCACACAGCTCTTTTATTTTCGAGATGAAGTTTAACAACAGATATTCACTTAGCAGACATTTTCTCTTTCTGCACTTTGAAATTCACAAACCAATGCCAAAAAAAAAAAAAAAATTACATTCAGAAGAGAACAAACAGGTGCCAGAAATTGGAGATCAAAAGCTAAGCAGTTAATGCCTACCTGGAATATGGAAATGCCTAGGAGCCTGCTGATAGACAGAAGGTGAAGATTTGCTGTCAGAGTACATGGATAAGCTTGGAGTGCTCCGACCACTTTCACTGCCTCCAAGGGGAAGAGCAAAGAAAGCAGATAAAAGAAAAATGGAAAGCAAAGTAGAGTATTTCAAGCATAAAAGCTTGTTCCGAATGACTTGTTAATCCAACAGTATTAAATATATGTTTTTGTAAAACCCATTATTTTTCAGCATAGTATACTCAGACCCCAAACACCTCATCAAAAATTACTATCTGATAGATATCAGATTAAGATGCCCTACTTTGAAGTGAAAAACTTCTCTTTTTATGATGCTTTAGAAAAGAAAATCAAAGGATAAAAACATCCAGAATCTTGCAATGTGTTTTGCATAGCCTTAACTGAATAATCTACTGATCAAGTGTTTTAAAAGTTTAATGCTATGGCTCGTAGCCTGCCTCTGAAACTAGTAATACATAATTCAGTAGTGTTTAAATTATCTCAAAGCAGGACTAGACCAAAATATAAACATTATGGTTAAGTAAAAAAATCCTGCATGTATCAGTGACAAAAAGATGTTGAAATTCGGCTTTCATTGCAAACTTTTCCCACAGTTAACATGCCACGGCATTTTTATGCAAACAAGGTTGGATTATCAAGTCATGGATCTATAATGCCATAGTCACTTCACCAAATTTCAAGATATACATAGGATTTTTCCATATTCATTTTTCCACTTGTTTGTCAAATGCTTATTAGGTGCCATTCATCTCCTCTTGGCTTATTTCCCTGAAGCACACTCTATGGCATTATAGTGCTGCTTGGCAAACAAAAAAGTAAAGCTCTACTTTTTTGGGACTTGTAAAATCCTTTTAGTTTACAGCACTGTTAAGCAACTGGAAGCAAACATGACATTTATTCTTACATCAAATGACTGTTAATTTGCTGTTAATTGTTGTAGTGTGGATGAAGCACAAATTTAATGGCTAGTAATGATGAAGTTGTAGCAAGTTTCTCTAGGGTAAAGAAAGTGCAGCAGCTCAGGGCATGAGATCTGCAACTGAGTTCTGCCTTCATGAAAGGGATGTTTCATAACCACAGAGCTACTGGGTCACCAGAGCCATGCCCGTGGAGGTGATCTCTGCTGACAAGCAGTGGGAGCATGGCCATCCCACTGTCACCAAAGCCAGCCTTGCCATGCACCTCTGAGGCCAAGGGGACAGTGCCACCGAGCTCAGCGGGAGCAGAGACACGACAGACGAGGTCAGAAGAGCGTGCTGTGTTATCTCATGACAGTACACTAACTAATACACCCTACATTTTGTGTCTGTTGTCCTCACAGTAGATGAAAAATTAAAACTCAAAAGCTATTCTGCTGCGACCATGCAGTAACAGGGATTTCTTGCTGAAAAAGTGTAATTTGGGACGTTGAGAGACTGAAATCCCAGCTACAGGTGCTGATAGCCTATGGTCCTTCCAAAATGTTAAGAAAAAATTATGGAATTACTAAGAATCTGGTGCATCACCATGAGCTTGCAGGCAAGTATTTCTCAGACAAGAAACCAGACAGTTATTCAGTTTCTTCATTCTCACTTTGCTCTTGAAAAGAAATAAGTGGGGACAGGTTTTCACTCCACATTTATGAATTCCCTCTTTCTTTGCTGCTTGTTGCCCAGATTCCTGCCCATCCCTGTTAAATAGAAGAAGCCTCAATGTACTGATAGATACTTATTAAAATAATGCCCCTTACATCTCCAGAATTCTTTAAAAATTTGTAAAGTCTTTCACTCAAGTATATTGCTACTGGAGTTTTCTAATTTAAACAGAAAATCAAAGTGGCTCAAGCAATTTCCACAGTGTATTAATTCCTCATTGACTTAAAAATTAGCATATTATTAAAATGTCTATTAATATATGATCTGCATGAATAATCACTCCATTGAGCAGTGCCCAAGGTGCTGGCATAGTACACACACAGAAAGTCATTCATAAGTGACAGGGTAGTATCAGCAAGGAATCAGGAGGAAGCATTAATTAAGAGGAATAAACTCATAGGAACGCAAGATATAAGTGCAAGTACCAGGGGACAGGGAATCTAAAAATTGCTCAGTGCAAGGATCATCTGTGTGGAGCAGTTTGCAAAGCCATCACCTCTAACTTGCTCAAAATGGAAGAATTAAGGATAAAATGATGGAAAGGTTCTTCTTGGACCCCGCCCATACAAACTGATGCATATTTGAACTTTAATTCTGATTTGGACAAACATATGAGTCGTTGTATTTCACATTTTGCATACAAAATCAGTGATTAATAATAAAACAAACTAAAGACCCATGTAGAAAGTTAATGAGTAGGAATTACAGAGAGCTGCTTAAGCTACGCTATAATTTAAATCTCTAAAATGAGACTTTGCCAATAAACTATCTCTTTCTCTTAGGTTTGCCTAGTATTAATAAGAACTTCAAATAAATTCTCAGAGAAAAGACAACTACCAGAGAGAGCAATTTGTCAAACTTTTGGGTATGCCTTCTGCCATAAGCAGCCACAGGCTGCGATCTTCTCTGCTGATCAGTGAAGAGCAAAAAAAACCCAGAATCTTGAACTCTTCCTTGGATGTTGTTTAACTTGGAAAGAATCTGGGAAGGCTTACTTTGAACTTGAGTGCAAACCACGAAAGCTTCCTTGTGTTGTTTGGCTGCTGACAGGGCAGGCTGTATGCTTTTAACCCTGTGTGCACAGAGCCAACTGACCAGGGCTCAGACCACACTCCATCTTCAAGGGACTGTCAGGGAAAGTATAATATTGCTTATATGCCTTACTTAGTCAGCTTTTATCTTATCTGTAAAGATGGGAAATTTTATAACAAGTTAAAGTAAGAGCTGTCTAAGTTCAGGACTAAAGAACAAAGATGCTACTGGTTGAATGAGGGAGCTGTCCAAGCCTACTAACAAAACTGGTCCCTTTAATGGGCATGATATCTCTGCCCATGGTGCACTATTTAGAGGAAGTTTTTTGAAGTTTCATGAATAATTATTTTCAAGTTTTCAAAGCAAAAAAAAAAAAGGGCTTTGGAAGCTGTGCTAGAAAGGCAAGATAATTTCCATGTTTTAAGCAGACGTTTTTTCAGCAGGGCTCAGCACACTCAGAGACTCCATCACCTCAAGAGGAACTACTACACCAAGCAGAGGTGCTTGGAATATCACACCTACGACTTGCAGTGGCATGAATTGTGAAGCTTTCCTGAAGTGAGGTTTTCATAGGTCTTACTTTGAAGACTTTTGAAAATCCTTAAAAGAGCACAACCAAATCATTTGCCTTCATGATAAATAACAGCTCATCCCATTACACTTCATGGGCGGTAAACTGCAGAACACTGACAGAACAGGAACTTAGTAATCATATTTGTCACTGGAAAAAATTATGATCCCTGTCATTCTCAGGAAGAATATGAGGTAACCTCAGTGAAATCAAAAGGAAGATTTTGCTTGTCTTAATTTCCCTAGGGTAGTAATGTATCTGTCTACTGGAAGCATTTCTTTTATGACATATGTGGAGTGCTGGTTTTAAAAGATTACTTCTAGTATAGTAAAGCAGTGTATTATTTTTGGATCCTATATATATTTCTTTAAAAAATAAGCAGGATTTCACTTTCTTAAAACTGAAGTGGCAAAACTAAGGTTGGTCTGGATACAAACCAGCTATTGCTACAATCCCACTCTTCCCACACTAACCACTTGAAGGGAAAAAAAGAGCACATCCACAGCATCAAAAGGTTCCTTAAGATAAGGAAAAAACCACATTATGGAACTCCAAATTCAGAGACCTTGAAGAGGATGAAGTAAATCTTCTGACTCATTTTGGACAGAGACATTAACCCAGTGTAAACCAGTGAATAATCTATTTAATCTTGGCAGGGCTCAGGACTACCTACTTAGGAAAAGTATAAAAAAGTTCACCTGTCTCACAGAAACATTGTAAGGTACTGTCTGAAAAAATATTTTAGCTCCTTAATAAAAAAGTGTCGCAAAATTGCAAAATACTATATTTTTGATCACATTACTAATAATTATTTGGGCACAAGGAGCTACCACTTGATGATTCCTTCATTCAAACAGCAGCACTTAATAATTGGTGCTGCTCTGAGAAACAGCAGGTAGCACTGAGCAGAAACTCATTTGCACTGGAGTGCTGCCAATGGAACTTTGAGAAAGAGTTTTCCATACACTGAAATCATGTGCTGCAGCACACCAAGGAAGTTTCTATTAGTAAGAGAATCATCAGGTTGGATAATACCAACCAAAATGAGAGGACAGATAAAAAAAACAGTTCAAGCAGTGCCTCAGAATACCATGGATTATGCCAGCCTTTCAAGAAATGTGTGGGAGGCTGGCTGCTTCTGGTCATGGAAAGGAGCTTTGCAGGTAGCCTCTAAAACAACAACATCATTAATCTCATCAGCTCTTTCTTCCAAAATTTTCTCTGAAGGATCATATTTGGATGTCTCAAGCTTGATCCTGTTCCTGTTCATCCCAGTGAAATTCAGCTGACATTGGTCAGCATCAGGGCCCAACGAAGATCCATTATTTATTATTTCAAAGGCAATGAGTACTTGCTATTCACTTGAATGTGCAAGTTTTGCTCCTGCAGAGGGTCATTCCCTTTTCTTTACTGGTTACAACCTCAAGAACAATAGTTTTACTTTATATCAGAGAGTATATGAGAGTCAAGGAAGAGGCATTGAAAGTGTTTGCTATTCATGTGGCCTCACAGCTCATATTGTTACTAGAGAAGACAGACTTGGAGGAAGACAAATGTGGTGGGTGAATGCCTTCTCTCTCAGACATTTAACCAACTGAAGAAGAAAAAGCCTTTCCCTCAAAGGTTCTTGGCATTCTTTCAGCACTGTCTCATCCACAGCATGGAGGTTGTTAGAAGCTAATATCCACTGCAAAAAAAACTAATGGTAAGTAAAAAAGATTCAGTTACTGTTCTATAAGACATGGCACAGATGAATTGATAGTCAGTGCAGCTGCACTGATGTAACCAGCTGTCATAACTTTTGGCAATGCTACAAATAATATGAAGAATGTCTGAATGTATGTTGCAAGGTTAGATAACTGATCATCCTATGTTGTATCAAATGTGTAAGCTTATTATAATATTTAGCATCACCAAAAAGGGTAAAGGTAGTTCAGAACTAACAGACTTAAATATTTCCCTTCCTCGATTTCATTATGAAAGCTAATTCCTTCCCTCTACCCCTTTGAAAGACACTGAACACCCACTGAGAAAGCAAAAATAAAACACCTCATACCCACTCAGTTTGTAAAACTTACACAGTACATCAAGGAAGCACTTGCACAAAATTAAGACAAATTTTATCCAAGTGGAAGCCATGCTTGCACAGACATAAAAGTGAAACACAGCTGAATAAATCTACATTATCACAGCACGGTTTTGCATTCCTGGACCTTACCTTTGAAGAAAGGGATGTAATGATGTCTGAATGTAGATGTAAGGCTTGGGTGTTGGGGCAGGGAGATGCAGCTACTGGTACCAAGACTGTGAGTACCAGCTGGGGGCAACAGAGAGTAAGTGAAAATAAACTATTTAGTTCACTTACTGAAAGCCACAAATTACAATGCCATCCTTTTTTTTCAGGAACATTTTCCTCCTGATGCTTAGAAAATATACAGTTTACATTTAAGTCTTCATCTTTCTCTGGTTATTGCTAAAAACATGTCAGTGGCCACGCCAAGGGGTCAGCCAAGGGACAGGGGCTGTCCGCAGACAGAAAGGGCATCACCCAAAATGCTGTAATGCATCAGAAAATATTCCAGAAAAGGAACCACAAAAAGCATGGCTGCACTCAGGGGAAAACCTGAATATTAAAAAGCTGCAAGAGGGAATGAGAAATGTTCATAATGGATTTAATGAAATGGAATGGGAAGAGCCTTATCTCTGCAGAGAACTGTGCCACGAGCGGGTCCAGTTCTCACTGTCGGTGCTGCTCACTGGTAGGATTTAATTCACAATGCACCAGGGCACTCCAGTGCACGGCTAATTTAATTATTTGAAGAAACATCCTGAAGTTATTTGAGCTCTGAAAGTTAGACATGCGATTAAGTACCTTGAAAAATATTCTCAAGTCATCTCTGCTTTGCTGCAACAATGTTCTGATAACACAGTTTGGAGAACAAGTGGCAATTATTAAAAATGATGATTATGAAGATTATCTTCTGAATTTTAAAGCATTAGAATTTATTTGGAATTCCTTTTGTCTTTCCTCCTTGCTTTAACATTGTGCTACTAAGATTAGGCATGACAGCTACCAGACCTTCAGCAGAGATTAATGCCACTCTAATAGATTTTTTTATACTCCACCTCATTTCCATTTAGTCAGACTTCGTGTAATACAAATATTCAATTCCTGTAAAAACTGTTTCTGTTACCTCTAAAATCTTCATTTCCCTTGGAAAGATTAAGAACTCACAAATTTCCAAACTAGTTTAGAATTACAATGTATCCCAAATGAAATTAAAAGACAACAAAATAATAATATAAATGCTCTGTGTTCTTCACCTGAACGATGGAATAGAGAAGAAATACAATTAATTTTGAGCAATTTCACTGATTATTTCCGAGGATAAAACTCTGTACAGAGCCCAGATATGAATGGGGTTTTGTAAAGTATTCCCATGCAAAGGTCAAAAGGATATGATCCCTCTTGTCTGTGTGACAAGTGCACCAACACAGCTGCTACTACAGCACAAAGCTGCCAAAAACACTGCAAACTTCTCAACTAAAGCAATTTGGCCTTCAAAATCCAGCCATCAGAATAAGTCATTCCTCCAGCTCTTGCAGTGTGGAGAGGGGACATGAACCACGACCTTATGGTACAAGAACTTAACACAAAGTCACTCGCTCACCCTCTTGGCTTTGTGTGCAGTCACTGCTACTGTGCCACCCCTTGCAAGAGCTGTGGATTGAGTGTATATCTTCAGGCAGGATGAGACCAGGATTAAGTTCCTTAAACTCTCCTATCTTGTGTCTACAAAAATCAATTTTTCTTAAATGCCTGATTTTGTTTTCTTGGATGCACATTCCTGAAGCACTTGTTTCCTTTCTCCCCATGGAACTCGCTTTTCACCATAAATAAATCACTGCAATGAACTGCTATTCCACCTTAAACCTCTGACTGCTGGAGTCAATTCTACTCACAACACAACACAAAGTAATGGAAAAATCTAGAGAATAAGCAAGGCTGCTTTTGGATTACCTGGTCTGCTGTAATGCTGAGGAGAATGGGAGGTGGGGGTGTAGCGACCATAGCCCAGGGAGCCAGCAGAGCTAGGACTTGATGTCCTGTACTGCTTGAAAGATCTGTCATCTTGGTCACCCTTAGAGGAAGAGAGGAAATACATGTCATTAGGGAAGATAATTAAGTTCTCAAACAGGCAGAATACCCCATCTCCTGTGTTTCTGTGCTGTGTGGATGGGAGTTGATGCTGCCCTAAGATTCCATGCAATCCTAATGAAATGAGGTGGCTTTCAGCACCTCCACCCCCAGTGTGACTGAAAGAGCTCTGCCAAGTACCAGAGAATGGTCATGTTGCCAGGAAAGTTAGCACAGACATAAATTTAACATTACAATTTAATTTGAAAAGAACTGTAAAAGTGTTGTTTCAGGACAGTGTAATTTCCTGAACAAATATAAGTGGGTGGAAGATGAGCTCAGGTCAGCATGACAGTATTATGGTGACTTTGTATCCATATGAATAGATGCATAATGGTTACAGACAACACAAAAATCAGCATTTGCTGGTTTCACTACATCATGAAACTGACTGTGTACAAATAGCCCAGTGTGCCACACTGTAACATGGTCATTACCCTAAGAAACCCAATATTAACACTTGTGTAGCATTAGCATTAATACTGCACCATTGTGCAGAGCCAGTCATACAATCCAATTCCCACTGAACTCTTGGCTTCAACCAGTTAAAACCGTGCATGCACACTCCAAGCCTCTAATTTTCAACAGCTAGTTAAACTACAACTGCAATTTGCAAGTAGGGTCTTCTTAACAGTAAAAGCACTACTGAGTTAAATAGATGGGGAAGTGACTTTGTGTAAACTAGCTATAAAAGCAAATTCAAATTTCCCCTTTTTTTGAGACCCATGAGAATTGGCTGGAGTTAACAACTTCATATTAGAACAAATCAATGTAACCTGCAAATGCTCTTTAATGGAAAGTCATACTCAAAAACATGCTTCCCCTGTCCTATTCCAGTAGAGAACCATGAAGATAAGCTATACTGTATCAAGTGTCAGTCACTTATCATGAATTTGGGGATGCCTTTAGGCTTCTGTGTGATTCCCACTGAATCATTCATCATTTAAACAAACCATAAATCCTATTTACCCCTACTACCATCTCCCGAATTCCTATCAGAAGAACTTAATCATGTCCATACATTGATGTTTAGATGAATTTGGCTTCTCTGGGACTATCCTTGACTCTACAGAGATTTACAATATTCTCATCATCATGAGGTTTTTCCTGTGGACAAGATATGCTCTGTTCCTTCAATGTCAACCCAGACCTACCAGCTGCATTTTCAAAAGTGGAAAATCAGCTTAGTATAGTGGCATTATTGCTTCAATATCAAGTTCAGAAGTAATTATACAAAAAGCAAAGAACAAGAGATGTCTTCCCAAGTGTGCAGTGTTCTGCATTCTGCCTCAACTCCTCCATGTCCAGCTCGAGATATTTCCTTCCCAATGAATCCACATTGTGAAATACTCACTCTAACCTTTGGGAAGAGAATTACAAGCAGTATTGCAATAGCTCTACGCAGTCTTGTAATAATATTTAAACATCATATGAGTGTCAGCTAATGGTCTGTGATGCCTACAATTGTATGACACAGTGGAACTCTCCTCTAACAAAAATCCCTGCAACAAAACTGGTGACAAGTTTGCAGATGATGATGCCCGAGCACCTGATCAGAGACTCCTTAAAAAGAGACAGCAAGCACAGAGAAGCTGGATAACATGGAGTATACACAAATAATGGCAGTCCCAACCTCCACACCAGTATCACTTTTGGAACTTAGTATTTGCAGTTTGGTAACTGAATTTAAAGGATATTATTATAATCTTCCAAAACACCAAATTTTCATATTCTTTCAGACCTTACCTTTGTGTACCTTGTGTCTCTGCAAGAAACAGCCAACCTAGTTCATGTAACCAAGCATTACATAAAACATGCTTTTATTTTTAAATTATCAAATAAATTACATCTCTACTGGTTAAGTTCTCTGTTAACCAGTTCTTAAAATTATTTACAATCCTTAATTCTCCATGATTACCAAAATTTTGCAGTATATAAAATTGGGATAATGGAGAAATTAGCCAGATCCATGATTTTTAATTGAATAACTATCTGTGAAAATAAATGAAATGCTTCCACTGGTTCCAAAGCAGTGTTTCTTGAACGATGACTGGCTTAATTAATGCACATCAAAATACATAGACCTAGAAGTTCAGGTATGTGCAAATGACTTAGAAGTAGGTGTGCACAAATAGTATAAGTAGCTTAACTATTTGTGAAATAAAAAATGTGAAGAAAAAAAGACGTGAAATCAATGCCAAGCATTAATTCGAATCAGCTTACACGGGCAGCCTTAAATGTGAACATAAATCATATTTCCCAATATAATTTATTTAGAAGAGCTTGAAGAAGTGACCACCATACAACCTTTATTTTGGAAAGCAGAAACATGGATGACAGTGGAGACAGATGCATACAGATGACAATCCAGAAGCAGAGCACGTATTGAGCACAAGTAACACTCTGAAAATCATAAATTATAAACCCCATGCACTGCAGAGGCAAGGGGCAAACCCCACATTTCAGACACTGCTGGTTATCAATATGACCAGGTTTATGCATCACAAAATGGGTCAGAGTAGGAGAACAAAGGCATTGGGGATTACCTCAGTAGGTGTTGGAGAGAGCAACTGAGGTGACTGCAAACAGCAACACACAACAAATTAGTGATACAAATTCATGCATGATGTTACTAATGAGAAGAATTACTCTTAAAATATCACTATCCATGTATAACATAGGATACAGTTAGGAAAAACACCTGTCAATTAAGTTAGGGCAATTTTTAAAATCTGTTTTTAATTAAGTACATAAGGACTAATATATAAATAATTTCATATTGGTCTTTGAGTGATGTCTCTTCGACAAAATCCTGGGATGTGGTGAGGCCAGTCCTGTGCCACGGAGAAGGGCAATAGGGAATTCCCAGTTAAAGCAAGTGCCTGAAACTACACACAAGCCCTAATTAAATCTGCATTGAACAACCTCCAAAATCTGGACTAGAACTGACTGTTTCAAGGGAGAGAAAAATGTCTGCACTATTTATTTTCAATTAAACATCATGTAATTTGACAATTTGTTGCTCATTTTCCTTTCCAAATCAAACACTAGGTTTGGTTAGTTGAGAAAATCGACTGAAAGTATTGCAGCTGCAGGTTAAGAAGCCAGGATGCTGAAATTTGGGGAGAAATTTCCACAACCATCATCAACACCAACAAATTTTGACATAGAAAGGAAATGATTATGCTCCACACGTTTAGGGTGAGGCAGCAGCTTTTAATTTGGTGAAATCAGAAACCTGAATACAGTTTAAACCCTTTAACAAATACAATTTGATTATTTTTTAGTATCTTGCAATGGAACTACTGTGGTTCAGCACTGTGCAGAGAGGGCTTGGAAGAAAGTCTGCAAAACCCAACATACACACTGCATTTCACCTGACAGTGGTACTGAGACCTTAGTGGTACTCATTAAATGTAAAAGGTGCAAGGGATAGCATGACTAGGGCTGTTATAAATATCATGACTATTAATTATAGCATTTATTTTTGCCCATTCACTTACACCTGGAGAGAACAAGGCAGACTTCCATGCTAGATTGTATGTATCTTGCTCATATCTAGCATATAGTAAAGGCTTAATTTGTAAAAATTCAGCTAAAATTATCAAAGCAGTCAGAAAGTCAAATGAAAGGTAGGTATGTTCAGAGAAGGAAAGCTAACTTGCATGACAGGAGTTATATACAAGTATGTTTCACAAAACTTAGAATTAGTATTAGTTATTAGTATGTTAGTATTATGGTAAATTAGATTTCATTAGCACAAACTGTATCATATTGAATCATATATGAAAAGGCTGAAGTGCATGCATGACATGAGGATGAAGTTAAGTAAGGAACAGTTGAAAGAAATTTGTACACAGGAAAGTGATACCATTGTTGTGTTACCAAAATAACATGGTACACTTTGATTAAAAAAAAAATCATGAAAGACATTTGGCTTTGCTTCTCATTTTTGCATTATAATTAGCAATGGCTCCTGTTTCCTACCACATGCAAAATTGCTCCCATGGAAAAACATTTTAATTACATGTCATCTCTTTAAAAAATGATCACAGAAAGCAATTTTTAAATTTCTACAAACTAAAAAATGAAATGAACAGAAATGAACATCTTGGGTTTGGTTGTTCTTTTTTTTTCTTTTTTGGAAGGCATTGTGAATGAATGGATGACATGACTCAATTAACTAGAGCTATAAAAGTTACATTTAAAAAAAAAAAATTATGCACATTTTAATAGTTTTTGGCAACATGTTCAATGATGCACATAAAACCTGAAACTCATAGTAAAAAAAAATACCCATGTTTCAGTACCTCCCCATAACTATGCCTGTCATCTGAAGAGTAACTGATATATGGAGAATAGGAGATCATATCTGGGCGGTCAATGTTATAGATGGCTTTATTTTTAGGAAGAGCAGCCAAGTCCCTGTAGTCAAGAATTTCATCTCCAAGCTTTGCCTAAGAAAAGGAGGAAAGAAAGCAGTGAGAATAAAAAAGAATATGAGCAGGATGCAATCAGACAAGGAAAGATAAATGTAGTAGGAAAGTCATAATCATAATAAACCAAGTGTTTGTATTTGTGAACATTTAAATCTCTTGTATTTACTATACAATGCTAAATATTACTGTTTTCTTTTATATACTTGTCACTGGCATTTGGCTAATAGGAGTAGCATGGCATCATTCCAATTCCCTAGTTATATCCCACTTACTCACGGATGCACAAACAGATAAAGGGGACAGATATTGTATCTTTTTTAGGCAAAACTCACTGAATCTTGAAGTGGTTTTGGTGTGCAGAATTCCCCTGCTGTAAGCAGTAGTGAATAATCAAATTTGTGTTTCCAGCATATACTCTCCAGATGCTGAAAAGCATCAATCAGCTCTTTGATCTTTCCCATTCAGTCGTGTCCCACAGCTTCACCTCCTTTCCTGACTATGTCTAAACAGCCCTTAATTATGGGTTACAAACCAGCAGATGATGGATTTGCACCACGGTGGAAGATCACAGATGCCACTCAAATAAAGTTCAAATCCTCCCATGAGACTCACACAACCAACAGAGGGAAAGGACTGTGCTGGTCCCTGTTCTCCTCCTACTACACATACTCCAAAAACCCAACTTGATCAAGTGCCACATTTGCACAGATTACTCTTAGGATAATTGCACCAAAACTGTATCCAGCACACGCCATGCTGTAGATATGATGACAAGTTGGCCACATTAAGAGTGGAGAAATGGGCAGCATAATTGTCTCATTCCCACTTCAAGTTTTGCAGAATGATAAGCTCTTTGTTGGCAACAAAACGATGAGTGAGTCTTGCTGTGCTCTGAAAATCTCAGTATGATCAGCTATGAATCTGTAATAATGCTTTCCACATGCAAAAGTACAAAAGTATCCAGAATTTATGTGTGCAGTAATTCTGTTTTTTCTTAGCCTGAGCTAAGAAAATAGATAGATTTTCCAGGGGAGTTTTCTATCAGGTTAATAATCCAGGAAAAATTTAGTCTGACAACTTTCAGTAATCCCTTTTTCTAAAACAATGCATGGATTTGTGCAAACATAAACTACATGAAAAGAAGGAAGATTACTCTTAAATAACAAAATAGAGCCAAGCTGACATAACCATCACATATTCCCATCCTCAAAACTAATGAAAATATGTGTTTTAACCAAGTATGTGATTCTTCAGCAATCTGCAGATCTCATTTTTTTTGCAGCTCCTTTAGGAAGCTAAAGAGCAATTAAATAGCCCCTTAATGAAACTAAGTCCCTCCCTGCTGAGAAGCCAGTGGAGAGCTCTGATGCAGAGACACGTAATGCAAAAGTAAAGAATTTGTCTGTCCCACCTGTCCCAGAAATACTTTGGGCAGCATTACACCTATGAGGAAGGCCAGAGGCTGTGATTTCAGTTAAGGTATCCAGGCTTTTGGCCATTATACTAGTGAAACCAAAGTAGTTCAGGATTGGGAATATTTAAATGTGAATTACGTTCATTTTGGCTCTCCATCTAGATGTGCAACTTCCCCTTAGATTTCAGATCTGTCAGAGGAGTAAAACCTATCTTGTTATGTAATTCCTTTCATTTTAGATATAACAAAGTGGGCAAATTGGGATGAAGAAACACCTTAGGGATACAGTTGCTTTCTAAACACTCAATTCTCCAAATATTGAGTCTACACTGTATTTTTATTTTATTTGTTTCACCTACATTCAATTATGTGAATGGAGTTCAAATCTGCTCAGGAAAGATCAAATTACAGCTGAGAGGCTTCAAGCCATTTCTTCAGTAATTTGGTATTTTGGATTCTGGTAAAACCACACTCTAAGTATAGAGTATCTATTTCATTTGGAATATGCAATTTTACAATCGTATAATTGTGAATATGATCTGTATAAAAATATAGTGTGATTTCTATTCCTTGCATGAGAGCACATATAACACAGCTATGTAAACTAATGTTAGACTTCCAGTTGGATATATTAGGTTGGAGCACCTAATTCTGTCTTAATAAAATTAAGCAAAGTATAAAGCAGGAGTTTTATTTAAACCTTATTTAATGGTGTAATTTAGAAATCAACAAATTTTTAATTAGGGATTCTGTAGTGTTGCCAGCATTAGGGCAAATTTCAGTCTAGATATAATGAAGTCATCCCTACAGGTCATGAGAAGATGCCCATCACCTTCAAAAGGCACTGGCCTGTGCCCTCTCTGCAAGAAAACACCAAAATCTGTTATCAGTAGATGAAGAAGTAGTGGTATGGCTTTAGTAAACCATCTGTATGAAGCACATTCACACTTATGTCAAAAAAATCCTTCACCCTTCCCCTATGAGGCCACACCACCATGGTCCAGAACCTGCCCTGTGATGGGGAGGTGTCCACAGTGATGTCCATCATTGCCCTGACTCAATGGTTTTGGAAGTGTAAGCACCACGGACTCACACTTCCTAAGACTGAACCGTTTTCTCTAAACTCTTTTGTCCATGGAATACTTCACACAGCTCACCAGCTGTAAGGTATGATTTTACTATGGCTTTAATGATGTGATGCTGAAAGCTGCTGCCCTGTGTGCACCGTCCCACCCTGTTCTGCTTCTACATCAGTATTAGAGGCCATGTAGACAGCTTGGGCTGGTTTTTTGCCTTTTGGGTTGTCTGGAGGTTTTTTTCTGAGTTATTGTTTAGCTCAGTCTGGCCTCAAATTGGACTGAGGGCATATCTCTGTGTATACACTATTATTAGCAGCAAAGAGGAGATGGGAAGACATGGCCAGAGAGAGACAGAGCCACGTGTGGGTGGGACCTTCCTTTCAGTGGCAGCAAGAATTCAGGTTTGGCAAAACAAGCCACAAAAGCCCACAAGACAAATCTTGAGTATGTCTGTATATCATAACAACCCTGTAAACAGAAAACACATGTAAAAACAGATAGCCAAGGGACCATTGTGATAATATAGAAGTCAGTAACATGTTTTCATTTCTTTTTACTTTCCTGTTTGTGAAAGCCAAAATAGGATTTAATCAGTCAACCAAAATCAAGTTTTGAAAATTAAGTAGTGAGAGATGGGACAGATAGAAAAACAACTTGCACTCCTCTGGGGAATCTTTTCTTCTGACTGACTCATATTTGCTAGACAACTTTGTATATTACACTAACAAACATCAGAGTGATGTGCTGATTTAATGATAACCATTAAAAACAAACAAACAAAAACAGAAAAAGAGAATTGAGGTTTGTCCTTGACTTAACAGCCCGTGAAGTGTATTTAAACATCAATAAAAACACCACCATCCTGCAGTTAGGAAAATATCTCTAGAAACATATAAATCTTAGGAGAATTCTCATGTTTAAAAACACGAGATGGTGTATGCCTGAAAAAAAGAGCTCATCTGGCCAAAGAAAGTGCTTACATGATAATGGGCTCCCAGCACAATGAACTGTCTTCATAATGACATTTCTTGGCTGGTAATCGACCACTGGTATTCACCAGCACTCAGAATCACTGACAATCATTTTGAGAACTGCAAGTTCAATCTTACTCAGATAAAGCCCGTATTGTATTTAAAGTAACTTTTATTTGAGGAAAATCGGTTTGATTGGATCTAAAGCACTCTTTTGCTTGTCTCAGTGTAGGAGATAAAAGCCTTTAATATTTGTATCATAACCTCTCTGGAAGTCAATTGCATCTCCAGCAATTTTCTCACAATATGGCTCTAACTGCTGAGGATGACCTGCCTACCTGAGGAATACTTGGCCAGGAGAAAGAAAAGCCCTGGAAATGCTGAAGCCCTGCAAGAGTTATCTGTGTGGATCATACCACATTTGCATTTTTTCATCTGTTGCTGATAGCCTTGAGAATTTGGCCATGAACACTACATTACAGCAGTTTTGATCTTGTTTTGAAAAAAAATCTTAAGATTTTATTATACTTGTTATTTTAAATTCTCTCAATGAGTCTCCAGAGCACTTCATAAACACATCAAACGTCCTCTGAGCTCGGGACTGGCATTTGACAAGGGCAGAGTCCTGCAATCACACACATTAGTGTTTTCATAAGCAACCAGATGCAGGCTCAGGAGCTCAATTTAAACAAGTTGTGTTCAAATCTAAGTTTGTAATCTACCTGTGGGCTATACTGTTTACTTAAACTTTTCTTTTCAGAAAGAAATGTAGTATTCTGCATGCTTTGATATAAGCCAGCTGTAGCTGTAGTGTAAGTGCTACAAATACTCCACAAGAAATAGGAGGAAAACGCCAGAATTCTGTTACAGCAAATATAGTATTCAAATATTTTAAATGTGAGAAAATAATTCCATTTCAGAGGAATCACCAACTGCAGTGGTTTGGAGACACTAAATTTCCATATAATGTGCTAAATTGTAGGAGGAAGCACAAGGTTTTCCCCATCCCACAGAACAAATCTCACTGGGAAATACTCACATAGATCACACGGCTTGGGGAACCTGATGTACTTGAAGCAGGTACAGAAATAATACTCTCAGAGGAAGTCCTAGTTTCCTGTGGCAGAAGAAGTGAAATAGATAGGAAATACAGGAGAGTCAAAGATAATATAACTGCTATTTCAAAAAAAGCATAAGAGACATTTAATTTAATCAATCTTTACCACTCAAAAATAACATATTATAGAGAGTTCAAAACATGGAGTTAAAAATAAAAGAACACTTACAGACAACCAATTTAACCTCTTAAAAATGCAAGAATTGTTTCACACATGGCTTTCTTATCCCTGCTATTTAGAAGAAAATGGCCAGAGCATTTCTAGGGTGCCAGAGCAGCCTTTGGGCACTATCAGAGACTGGCCAAGTTACAAGAGGATACAGTGGCAACATTTTTACTCCAAGGTTATGCCCTCAAACCGCCTACATTGTGTCTGAAACATGTCACACTGCCATGTCATTCCCTACAGCAAACACAACATGGGAAAGGAGCTAGGGAATGATAATTTAAGAGAGACAGTCTAATTAAACACCTCTTCTGCATAATTAAAGCACTTTTCAGTTTTCCAGAACTTGTGTAAATTACATGAAAATGTCTCCAATACACTGATGTCATCTACAAACCATATTTCTCTTTCATGAGGTCCCTACAGGACACTCAATGCAAAAGAGAAAAATAACTTTAGAAAATTGCACTATTTCAATGTTTTGAACCCTGTTAAAGTCAGTTTTGGATTAAGCCCAGGATTCCCAGATAAAGCTTCAGAGCTTCTTTCTGTGTCCTGAGAATGGTCATGGGCATGTGGCCCCAGGCAGCCAAGCTTGAGCAGAGGGGCTGGACAAGATGACCTCCAGAGGCTCCCTTCAAGCTCTGGGTCTTTCCAAGGGCAGACAAGGGGTGACTCCTTTTTTCCTGACACCCCTTGGAAGAGCCCAACCAGGGCATTCCCTTGGCACCAAGGTTACTGGAGTTCCCACCATGAGCCTTGCACATTTCCAGTAACCTCTTTGAACTGCCCAAGTGGAAACCAGTAAGAGTGGTGTTCTCTAAGGGTCCATGCTGGGAGCAGTAATGCTTAATATCTTCATCCATGACCCAAATTGGGATTGAGCACATCCTTGGCAAACCTACAGATGACACCCAGCCATGGGTGGGGACAACACGCTGGAGGGAAGGGATGCCATCCAGAGGGATCCTACAGGCTTGGGAAGTGGGACTGTGCAAACCTCACAAAATTCAACAAGGCCAAGAGCAAGGTCCTGCTCCTGGGTCAGGGCAATCTCCAGTGCCACCTCCACAAACTGGGTGGTGAAGGGAGAACAAGGACTTGGAGGATACTGGTGGCTAAAGAACTGTGTATGAGACATCCCACGTCTCACACATGATTTTTATTCTCTTCATGATCCATTACCCCTTTCAGCACCCCCATCCATGCCTGCTACAAATCATCTCCCAGCTTTTTCAATAAAACCTCACACCTTTGTTGACTCTTATTACCTCTGTTAGTTCATTTTCTGAACTACATGTTTTTCTTTTTCTTCCACTTACCTAATTTCCCTATATGCCTTTTTATAAACCTTACTTTTCCTTGCTGCTTTCATTTCTCCTGTCTTTTCCAGCTTCTTCCCTTCTGCTTAAAATCTCACTCTCCCATCATCTTTCTTTATGCTGTCACTCTCTTTCACAACTTCTTTTTCCCCTCCATCTCCAAAGTTTTGGAGCATGCTGCCACTTTCTCCTTTTGCCTTGTCACCTACTTTAATTACATGCTGTTCATCTATCTATATATAGGAAGATAACTTAAAAACAACAAACTGCAAGGTCGAACAGTAAATTTCTCAAGCAGTAGATCCATTCCAGACTTTGCAAGTTATGTTGAAAAGTTCATTATTACTCTCTTTGAAATGGCATCCTTCCTTCTGGTTTGATTTTTTCAATAATGAACATAAAGAATAGAAAATAGGAGAAACTCAAGGAAGAAGAAAAACTGCTAAGTTCACGAAAATTATTTCATATTCAGAGTTTGTCATAAAGAGAATCAGAGCAATCATTTCCCAAACACATGGGTACAAAAACTACAGCCTTTAGGGTAAAGTCCAAACCAAATTTTCTTTTTCAAACTGTTATTTAGTCAAAGTTGGACTTTCTAACACACCAGATTTAACAATCTTTTTATGGATGCTGCCTGCTGTTCTGACTTGTCCCATGTGCCTTCCTCCAAGCCTTGAACCAGAGCAGAGCTTTTTTGAACAAGGACACCAAGGGTACCACTTGGAGCATCGGAGAACATCAGAAGTGAAAACCTACACTTGGCCTCTACATTAAATGAGACAGTTGTAACTCATTCCCACCACTTCAGAAGGATCATTAATTCTTCATGTCCTAGGGACAGTTTATTTATCTGCTAATCTTGTAATTATTCAAGTTGCCAGAATTCCCCTCTTTTCCCCTTGAACACAGAGAGGTGCACAATCATCCAACTTAAGGAGGTACAGAGATTAAAATCAATTGTGGCTGGCTAGCCAACATTTTAGAAACAAATAATAAAACAGAAACTCCAAGGAGATTTCTTTTTTGTAAAAACAAATAAAGTGAAATTCCTCTGATCTTTTAGGTTCAGAGCCACATGAAAAGAGAAGAGGTCATGAACTGATAACATCATAATCAGACAGAAGTTAAAAATTAACTTTTTTTCTTATTCATATGTTCACATTTTTCCTTATTCAGATTATATATATATAACTCTTAGGTCAACATTCTCCTCAATCTGTGGCTTTAATCACTGATTAAAAGCAGCATATTTATATTACATGATTACATTTCATTAGCCAACTAGATTCCCATCATTTAAAATTTAAAACTACAGTAGTGAAAAATTTCCAAGCCCTTCCATCCATGCCTGCTGCTGTAAAAAAAAGGATAGAGAATATGTCAATCAAGCCACACAGGATAAAAATACAGTTTTTACCTTGTTTTTTTCTTCAGCCTTTGCAGCCTGTCTACAAAGTGGATGCCAAATGGATGTTCCTGTAAAGTAAATTTAAAGTTCTGCTTAACTCAGTTCCATGATAAGAACTTTAAAAAATTCAAAATAAGAACCTTATTAAGCCCTCCTATAAGGTTTTATAAGATATAGGTTACTGACTACTTCCCCTGCTAGAGCAGGATACTTTCAGAGGCCAAGATGACAACCTCTCAGTACCAGTGAGCCTGACCACAGGCATTTAAAAGACTTCAGAAAGCCACATGTACTCAGTATGGCAGATCAATATCGAAATCTGAGTCTTAAAAAGTGTGATATGTGCTCTCTGGAGCTCCAGCAGTCCAACCTCCTGCTCAGGGCAGGTCCCATTACAGCAGGCAGGGCTGTGTCCAGCTGGGCATTGCACATCTCCAAGGATGGAGATTTCAGCACGTCTCTGGGCAACATGTTTCATGGTAATTTTATTTCTTTATATACAGTTAGAGTTTTCTGCACTCTTACAATACATATTTTTGCAATAGTTAGGCTTGGATCATACACAGTAGCACACTATGGTGGGATGGAATAGCATTTTGCCATGTAACCCTAGCTGAAAATCCAGTCTGTCTGCCATTTATTCACTGCTCCAACCTTGCACTTCCCATATTTTTTCTCTTTTAAGGCTAAGGAACTGCATAAATTCAGGAGGATGTCCATCCTGGAGGAAGCAGGATTCTCTGTTGCATACAGGTATTGAAATGAGGATCTTGATGGGATGTAAGTAAACAATGAGTGTGAAATACAAACTTTAATAATTTTGCACTAGTCACGAAGAAAAAAATTATTGCAAAAAGTTGAACATGATGTTCAAAATAGTGTTCAGTAGAAGTGGAATGTGTATAATGGTATAAAATAAAATAATTATTTGCAAGTTTTAATAGTAAGAAGGAACCTTTATGTTTATGCCAGTCTGATCTCCCACACACCACAGATTAAAACTCCAGAGTTAAACAATGTGAGTGCACTGCAACTTCTGCCTGACTAAACTGGAACCTGAGAACCTTTGCATGATAAATATTTAATGTTTATACTGGGTGGAGGGTATCAAGAAAGTTATTGGAAATGCTTTGTTTTCACAGCAGTTTGATAGTTTTCTAACTAGTGGATTTTGGACACAAGATAGAAACAGAAAGTCTATTTCCCAGAAGACAGATGGAGATCATTAGAATTTATTTCACAAAAATAACCCAGATGAACCCAAACTCTTGCAGTAAAAGAGCACCTACAAGTACAGACCAGAAAAATTATGTTTACTAAGGTACTAATTTTTTTTGTTACTGAATGACTAAGAAACATTTTTATAGCAGCTTTAACTTTAATGCTAAATTATCTTCCACTTACAAGTGGATCTGAGCTTGCCCCATTTGTCCCATAAATTGCTTCAAATTATCTCAACGGATTTAAGTCTTTAGATCACTTTTTTTTTTTTGTTTTGTTTTTAACTACTCCTGTCTATAGCTAAGTAACACTGTCTGGGAAACTTCCACACTGAAGAAAAAAAGTCTTTTCACCCAAAAGCTATCTGTTGGATGATCACTGAAGATTTCTGCTAAGGAACACACAACATCTAATGTAGATTTCTGCTAAGGAATACACAACATCTAAAGTAACTTTACAGCAGTTTATTAGAGGATGAAAAACAGATGATAAAACCCTGGGCTCCAACACTTTTTATTATTTAACAGGTTAGGCAGTCCAAATAACTGATCATATATCTGTCATAAAATAAATTCAGCTTCTAATGGAAACTGCTCTTCATGTGAAGACAAAAAGAGGATGACAGTAAGCTGGTGTAAAAATTCCATGCATCAGAAAATTCAGTAAGATGGATCCAAATTAATGGAACCAGAGCATACCTTGCTATTATTTGAACTAATAATTAGAAGAACACCTGACAAATATCCATCCTTACAACAAATGGAACATTAAAAGAAGACTGACTTGCAAACAAGTTTCAGAAGGTTTGAAATCTAGAAACAAATTTGTAGTTTGATGTACTTTTCTAAAGCATTGATTTCACATGGATTTTAGCACTGCTAAGATCATTTTCAACGAGAAGAACTGCAGCATTTTCTAGCTCCTGAGTGAAAATTCATGAGCATAGAGTAGTATCACTATGTCCTCTAATGAGCTAGTTCTTGTTGCAAACCAAAGTGACAATAAAATCGTCATGTAAAATAAAGTACTAAACCATAATTAGATCTTACTGAGGCCACTGCTGTGTTTTAAACAAAGTCTAACTTTTCCAGCTTAAGGAAAAATTTAGAAGTACACTTCCAGAAAACCATGGACAATTGCAAAATTTTAAACACAGATTTGGGCAGGCATGTGATTTTTAGGATAATACACCAGCCTTGCACTTCCCACATCCTACTGAGTTTCTCTTTTCTGTTTTCCTTTGAAAAGTACTGCCAGTCAAAGACATATGCAAAATCTTTTATTTTCTCTGGTGTTTTCCCCTGTATTTAACTGTGTAAGCAGATCAATTTAGTGGAGCTAGAAGTTACTACACATGAAGAATTTCAGGTCATATTTATATTAAATGACATTTTTTCCCATTGCATACTTTATTGCACAAGTTCTTCTGTAACAATGAATTTCTCCTGTGCAAGCCTATGGTGTGGGCAAGCAGGTTCAGGCAACAGACCCAAGTGTAACTGTTTTATTTTTTGTTTGATTTACCTTGAAGATACATTTCTTCTCCTTCTGCAAACATCTGATTGCACCTGACACATCGTGCACAGGTTGGGTGATAATGTTTTTCTCCTGCCTGTTCAGAAAGAAAGTACAGATGATTAATCATATTGATAATTTAGATAATTGATAGTTTTTCTTTCATCCTCTTGAATATGAATAATTTAATTAGTTAATGACAATTAGTTCAACAGTCTCCTACAACCACAATGCTAATTTTTCATTCTAGACAATTCATGCTTTAAAATGTAATTATGGTCTTGCCCACACAAAGTAAAAGAAGGTTTATGTGCAATAGTTAAGTCTCTGAATTTACAGGATAGAAACAAATTTATGCAATGAACACATTTTCCCTGTAAACTAAATGCAGGGCAGCTTAGGACTTACCTGCACGAGGAATTTGGGAGGTCATAACCTCGAGCACGGATTTGCAACTCAACCATATGTTCATCGTGTGTGAACTGAATACACAATCCTAATGCTCAGCAAAAACCATTCTGTGCAAGGCATGTTTGTAGCTGCTTTGAAAGTGTTCTGCAGGTAGCTCATACTAAAGAGTTTCCATGAGGAATGTGTGCAGCCTGCCTACAGGACTGTAAGTCCAGAGCAGGCAGCTTTGGGTTCTGTGCACTGACATGGACAGTCACATGGACAGGCCCAGAGTTCTGCCATCTGTTCAGAGATTAATCCACATAATTTAATACCACCATTTTCACTGACTGGAATGAGAACAGGACTGAGCCCTCAATTTGCTCAGAACTGCTTAATAACTTACCAATTTTCCTATGTTTAAATTCTCAATTACCTGCACTGTTGGCTTGGGCTAGTGACAAAAAGAGCACTTGTGGATCTGTGCTCTGCACAGTGAACAACAGGGACCAGTCCCTCCCAACTGCACTCCCACCCTATCGTTCAGATGGCACTCAAAAAACAGAGTTCAACATCCCAAAGACAGCTCTTGCACATGCTCCCAGCACTCCTCACTCTCCAAAATCCCTGTGGAACTGAAAGCCAGATCTTGGCATCTCCTTTCTCCTTTTTGACTCCACACTCCTCCATGCTAGACAGAATTGCCCATGGTTTAAATGGCTTAAGGTTAATGCCATTTCCACTAGGAACAAAAGCCAGGAGACCAAGTAATTCTGCAGCTTAGAGCTAAAGTAAACTACATTTAACTTAATATTAAGCTAAGCCTGACTTCAGTAGAAATTCTCCTGAAGTCAAAAAAATGCAAATTTTGGTCCATGTAGACTGTCTCATAACCTGCTTTCCTGAAAAACATTGAAAGTGCTACTAGTATTGTGGGTGCCTTTAAGAAACTACTGTCAACTATTGCCTCACTGCCTTCAGCATGTACATAGGCTCTCAAAGCACTGCACTGTAAATCCCCTTCTATCAATCTAGAAATTTAGCCCTGTTACTACAAAGGTGATTTGTCTAACACTTTCCTATTCACCAAATTTCAAAGCTCTCAGAGGCATTTATATTAAAGAATGTAATCTGTGTATGTGGGCTATTTTGCCATTCACAATACCAATTATAGGAATGCAGTAAATCTATGTTAAAGAATCTCTGGTTTTGCTGCAAGTGTTAACTTGATTCACTCCTGAAAACCTGCTGCAGCATTTCAGATTGGCAATAAAGAGCAACACATCACATCAGAATTGCATTTTGAAAACAGCTCTGTTCTCTCTTTTTATGTTATCATTTGTGCAGATTTCAGAGTGATATTTGCAATTTTAGACATGGAAGATGGTCGCTACTATCTGTGATGAGACCTTTAAAGACCATAAAATATTAGTATTGAGCTTAAACTTCAGGTTTAAAATTGCCTGCCTTAGTGCAGGTGTTTAAGCACAGAAAAGTATTTAGTTATTACCAGATAAACTTATGTTTCACATATCAAAATGAAAAGAAATGTAATTTCCCTTGGAAGTGCACAAGCATTGCTAATGGAATGCATAGCCTCAATAATTCAACTGATTTAGCAGAGATGATAACATTCTCTAAGGGAATTCAATTACTTCTTTGCTAACATAAACTGCCAGGACAGACTCTCAGATAACCTGGATGCCTCACAGAAAAAAGTCTATTTCCCTAAATTTAACCAAATATATAATTTTAATTCACTTAGTGAATTCACTTGCATAGTCAGTAATATCAATTAGGTATAGAATGGCACAGAAAGGCCTCTTTCATGACATAGAAACAACGGTAACAGAAAAATTCAGGGAGAAAAGTGTAGTGATCCTTTTGCTGATGATCACACCAGGAGAACCTCAATGGATTTTGCATAATTATCTCTGAATTAAAATGGCACAAACTCAAAAATTTCCATATAAGTCTAAGTGCTGACAGTGGCTTTTGTTGCCCCTTTTAATTTTTTTTTTTTAATTTTGTCCTCCTTCTAATCAAAGCACAGAAGACAAGACATAGCAGGCACTTCATCACTTGGAAGTATTTAAAAAGACCACACCATATTTCTAAATGAGAGGCAGCTGATGCAGGAATTAACTGATATTATATATTGATATGTACATGCAGTTAGCCTGATCAGATATCATAAATTACATTCAAACCTAGGACCTGAGTTTGAATCAGAGTCCTTTGGATAAATGCCAACGAGGTTTTCATCAGTGCCCCTTTCTCCCATCCCCTCAATTTCAGGGGCTTGGGTCTCAGAGATGAACAACTGGTTCCACCAGAACTCAGCAATTTTACAAACTTAGGGCAGCAAATATTGTATGGTTTTGGTTTAGTTTAATAAAGGCCTCATTATATTTTCTCTTCTTGCTTATATTGATGTGAGGTAGTTCAATGCAGCAATAAATTCCTAACCATATGGTTACTTCTTTGCACAGTTTGAAAGCCTAGTTTGACAGATTGTTGTCTCAGTGTTTAATAAAATACCAACACACAGCACAGAAGAAGTGACATTCATCTCTGAGACATCTCTTACGGTTGAAGTGATGGGTTCTAAAAAACCTCCTCAATATCCTACATTTGCTTCAAGACTGCACCAGGTCTTTGTGCCCAGGAATCCAGATGTGAGGACAGTATTATTGTGAAGACTAACTTGAAGACTAATTTTCAGCTGAGATTACCTCAAACCTGAATAGCAAAGCGTGTCCTTAGTAATAAAGTACATTGCCAACAATTTTTCTTCAACTGACCATGAACCAGCTTTCCACAATCACCAAGCTGCACTCCTAGTGTGTAATTTAAATGGAGTCAAACAGTCCTCAACACTCTGAGACAAAGCATTGTGAGCTAATTCTTTCCCTCTAGGTATAAGAGACCCCTTTGAATGTGAAGTCTCCTCTGCAGAGAAGGAAGAGCCTTCTGGGCTGATCACCACGAGGAATGTTTGATCACCACGAGGAATGTTTGATCACCACGAGGAATGTTTGATCACCACGAGGAATGTCTGATCACCACGAGGAATGTTTGATCACCACGAGGAATGTTTGATCACCATGAGGAATGTTTTACCAGGGAAGCCATGGACCTCCTGCAGTCCCTGCCCTGAGCACAGGGACCATCACAGTGCTCCAACTCATCCCACAGCACATTGGCAAACAAACCCAGGCTTCACCTAAAGCAGCACCAGACAGCTCTGCAACAAAGGACATACAACCACCTTTCCTCTTTTCTCATAACTTGAGGGCTTGAAGTAAAAGGAGAATGTTGTGACAAATGTGAATCACACCATTCAAAGCACAATTTGAAGACAGTAAGGGGTGCTATTTGAAAGTCTTCAGAGCAGTATGAACACCAGGCCTGGAAAACATGCAGCACTAGCAAAACTAGAGTAATTCATACCAAAAGGAATAACTTTAACTAGTTGAGTTTTAAATTAGCTGTCATCACCCAGGAAAAATAAATTACATTACTGCAGACAGCTCAGCAAAAAAACTCTGCTCATTTTCTGGCTGTGGCTGCCATAACTGATGAAGTGGTAGAATATATAAAAGATGATATGCACAATAACTGTAACACTACCACAATGACATTGCTTGTCTGGTCTCTCGTGCTGTTTCTAGAAGTGTGATTGATATAATTTTTTACTGCAGTTGGTGAGTGACAATTGCTTATGGATTGACACATAAGAAATTGAGCAACCTAAAGCTCAGAGTGTGAGCTGAGTCCTGGAATGAAGAACCAAGATTTCTGATGTCTGATTCATCACTGAAGTCTAAATGCATCCTATCTCACTGCATTACTCAATGAAGTAGTTGGTTAAGGGAAGATAGAAAGTACAGAAAATCGTTTTTAATATACTAGATCAACTTGCAACTATCTGATTCTTTTTCTGATAATTAAAAACTATCAGTAAACTTTTTTCTGTAAAAATGATAAGTAATAACAATAAAAAAAATCTATCTTGTTATGAAAATGCATAGGGGAAACTGACATATTTTATTGCTGAGAGTAAAGAGTTTGTGGAAGTGACAAAAGGTTAGACTGCTGCAATGCATATCAAAGCATATTTTCCATTTTGAGTGTGTAATACAATATAGTTGCTATAATAGTTCCTCATTACCACTAAATGTTGTCTATTGAAGTAGATCCAAATCCTGCCAACCTCATACTCTAAAATCCCCAAACCAAGTCCTAACTGTACCCTACCCTGAATAGAAATAATGAAAAACAGCCTACAGAACACTGAGCTGGTGGGTATGCCAAGACATGGTGCAGTTGCCTGACCCACAAACAAAGCCCACAGAAGGCTGGTATAAAGCATTCTCAGTTAAAAGCTTTTCACATGGAACAAATTTGTTGAAGAGTTGTGTCATCACCAGACAACCACCTGTCCAAGCAAAGGGAAACAGAATAAAGCACAAAACCACTGACAGTCAATAAGCCTTCCCATCAGGCAGCTTCTCAACCTGAAATGAAGTATTAAAGATCTTATAGAAGACATGTGACTTGACTACTGTTGCTTTTGAAGTGGAGGGAATTTACTATTTGTATGGGATGGGAAGGGGGAAAAATACTTAGGCAATGTAGGGATGTGTGAAAGTGTAAAACTTTGATTAGACAATAAATTATTCTCTTTTGTATATTTTGTCTCCA